TTTTCTGTAGGATGGGGTGTCCATTCCAGTGTGGCTGAGCCCACCCCAGGGCCGGCCAAGACATTTCTGAAGCACGTGGCCTGGGTCTCTTTTCATTTTCCAGAGAGGTGAACACTTGACTGACCTCCAAACCAAGCTCACTGCTCATTAGCCCTGAGTGGTGACACGCAGGTAGAGAAGCACAGCAAATTGAACTGGCGCGTCCTCCTCCGTGCGGCCTGTCCCTTGCCGTGGTGCCTCTCACCTGATGCACACAGCAGGGCTGCTGCCTTGTGCTGCCTGCCCCGCCATGAGTCCCTCTTGGGTGAATGGCTTCTCTCTTCCTGGGGCTGTCCCTGGCTCTCTGATTCTGCTGGCTGTACAGATGAATTCTTAATTCTTCACACATCAGCAATCTTGAGGGTTTCTAAGGAGGTTTGATTAGTCACAAGTAGCCTTTTTCCCCCTCAGCAAATAAAGAGGCGTTTCTAAAGAATTAAGCCTTGTCAATAACCTTTGGTTACTAATGCTTGAGTATGATGTTAGTTTATAATATAGTTTTATTAGTCTTATATTTTTAAATATAGTTATTTAGTAAAAGAAAGCTTGCTTTCATGTCCAGGTCTGGTTTTTAATCTAGGCACTGATTTTTCAGTTCCTTTGGAAGGTAATTCCTGTCAACTGTCACTACATCAGTCTTACTACCTACAGCAGCCTTTGTCTTTGAATTCCTGTGTTATTTTCGGTGTCAAATAAGTGACTTTCGTTTGTTTTCTTCTTGCTTCTGCACCCTGCAGCTTGAATTTGGAGTGATTTACCACTGCACAGAGGAGCGACTGTACACGGGCCGGAGGGGCCGGGGTGCCTTCTGTAATGGCCAGCGGCTCCGGGTCTCCGGGGAGACAGGTGGGGCTCCATGTAGCTGGACTGGGTTCATGTCAAGTGGAGAAGTGTGTGTGGGAATGCCGAAAGTCACTGTGTCACAGGACTGCGTGGAAGTCTCCTGCTCATGCTTCCCTCTCTTTATACAAACATTGTATCCCCAATGAGTGAGACAATTCTGGGTCTTAATGTTGTTGTTGATGTGGCCAGGAGCTTTAAGTCTCCTTTTCTTTCGTGCTCACGTCCTTTATCTTCACCACTAAAAGCAATCCAGTTGTCAGTTGCGATTAGATGTCTCGTGGGACTGGGTGAGTAGTCCAAGGCCAGGCATGGTCAGGAGCTTGCCCTGGCCCTCAGAGCATCCAGGTACCTCCGTGGTCCTCATGGCTCCAGGTGGTGTTGCCCAGGTGCAGTCTGTGGCTCCCTGGGTGTGAACTATCAGCAGTTGGTTTCAGTTCTGTGAGAAGACAAACAGCCATGGGATGAGCTGTGGTAATAGTGTTGTTTCCACACACCTCAGACCTGCCATTGTAGTTCCGGCTTGCCCTTGCTTTCCTTAAAGCAGGAGCTCAAGGACATCTGGCAGCGCTTAGAGGGGGCCACGGCTGCACTTAGCCTGCCAGGAACTGCATGGAACTGCCTGTGGCTAACGGTATGCCAGTTCAGGTCCTTCAGTCTCTTTCTGGCCTTTCTCCCACATTCATTAAACTAGTGGTATTTTATTGCATTGTGGGACAGGTACGGTAGGGGACAGAAAAATGCCAGGCAGGAAGAGAAGAGCTCCAGGCTGGAAGGAGCTGGATGAGACTTTAAAAGCTCCTGAATGTCCACATGTCTGGGTTTGAAAAGGTAGAAAGGACTGCTCATTTCTAACTCGCCCATCTCTGAAGGTGGACATGATGAAGTGCCCCCACCCCAGCCTGGTTCCTTCCACCTGCTGACCATTGGCATGAGCACGAAGGTCTCGGCCCCCCTTCTGAGCTCCCCTCTGCACCCGTTTCTGGTCTCTCTGTTTCTGAGTCCTCTCCTAGTGCCCTTTCTTTGTTGTCTCTCTGTTCCACCACCTCCCTCCCCACTGCCACCTGTGTGTCTGGGGTGTCGGTGGCAGCAACAGGGACAAGTGTGCATGCGGGTGGCCAGGTGGTGGCAGGACTGTGGAGAGCAGCAGCTGGGAGAGGGAGGACCTGGGCCGTAGGGGCGGCAGGATGCGTCTGCACCCACAGGGAACAGCCACCCCCCACCCCACCCCCGCTTCTCCTCTCCTGAAGTATTTGGTTTGGCTGTATGCAGAGTAGCACTAATGACAGCTGTGCATGCCAAGGGTACCCACTGCAGCCTAATTGTGTAAGCTGGTGGTGAAGAGACATGTCATTAAACATGCCGGTGACCTCTGCTCCACATTTCGTGCAGCTGTACCACCCGCTGTGTTCGCACAATGCCAGTGTCCTGGTTGGCCGCCAGCGGGGCTTCCTCTCATGGCGCTGCTTCTTGCCCTCGGGGAGCTCCTCTGAGCCCCCCGGGCCGCCTGTGTGTGGCCGCCAGCCGGCACCTGGAAACGGGGCAAGCACAGGAGGCGCCGTCTGCATGGCGTGGGCTGTCCAGCATGGCCTCCCTGCACACTGCTGCAGTCCCCATCTCTTAGAAGTGCTCGGTCCTCCCTGCACACTGCTGCAGTCCCCGTCTCTCAGAAGTGCTCGTGTTTCAAAGCTCATCGGTGACTAAAAACTCTGACTTTTTTTTTTTTTGGTGACCGGTAAGGGGATCAGAACCCTTGGCTTGGTGTCACCCGCACCACGCTCAGCCAGTGAGCGGGAACCGGTCTCCACATGGGATCCGAACCCTCGGCGGGAGCGCCACCGCGCTCCCAAGCGGCGCACTCACGCCACCGGGCCGGCCCTTAATTTATTTTTTAAAATGAAAATCTAATTATATTTTAACATGAATAATATATTTTTATGGAAAATAACCATATTTTCCAAAAGAAAAAAATTTTAGTCAGGAGAGTGGCATTGGCATTGATTTAGATTTTCTCCAAGTTTCTTTGTCTGGTTAAAGACAACTGGATCCTCGTATCTGCTTCTGTATTCAATCTGATTGTTTTGATATGTGGTTGGAAAAGGAAGGAGTGTTTGAATTGTCTTTTCAGGTAATTGAGGATATTCTTCTTTAATACTAACCCAAAACTCAAAAAGTTAGAGGTTTCCTCTTTTGTCTCTTTTGGGGGCTGGCCAGTAAGGGGATCCAGACCCTTCCTTCACCTTGGTGTTATAACACTGCACTCTCAACAACTGAGCTAACCGGCCAGCCCTGCAAATAGGCGTTTCTTAAAGGTGAGTCGCGATGTGGAATCTAATGACATAGAATGAATTTTTTGGTGACATCATGCATTGGTCATTTGAAAAACAGGTTCACTGAGATGTTCAGCTCTTCCAAGTGCTGACACACTCGATTATACAATACTAAAGTCATATTCATTAATATCACCACTCTTCTCGGGAGAAGTCACTAAGTGTTAGAAAGGTGTCAAGCTCTTAGTGGTAGATATACATTTTCCCAAATTCTAATTTTCCCTCGAACGCTTGAATTTTGGCAGTTAAGTGATGGGCTCACTTCTTTCTTGTTCAAGAAAATGTCTTCCAAGTACCCAAGTCTGAGTAACTATAGTTTCTGTCTAAATTCTCTTTGCATGCTTCCCATCTTATCACAGAGAATATTCAAAAGATGTCTACTAAGGGTTTAAGATTTAATGCAATTAGTAGTTTCTACAGCCTCTTCATTCTTAAGTACATCTAACATTTCCCCGCCCTGGGCGTGTAGCAGCGCTGACTGCGGGGCTGCGGCCACCCTGCTCTGGTGAAGGCATCTGTGGTCACCACCTTGCTGCTGTGTTATCAGTGCAAACAGTACACAGTGAAGAAGCAACTTATGCTCAGCATTATTGTGGAAACTGCTTTAACTCCACGGACTCCTGAAGGAGTCTCAGTGACCACGCTTTGAGAGTTTCTGCTCTGGCTGGCTTTTCAGGAAGGGCTCCTGAGAACATGTTCCCTGAGTTCTTACGTGTTCATTACAGTTTACTGGTGGCCTTTATCCTTGGAAGTCCACTTTCTTGGTAAGGAAGCCATGGCTCACATTTTCTCGTCTTTTGATCTTCATTGTGTGATGCCATAAGCATGTTCTTGAAAAGTCTGAAGACAATTTGATTTTCTTTCCCTTGTAAGGGACTTTAATTTTTTGCCTGGATGCCCAAAGCAGTAATTTTATGGCAGTAGATGCCAGTTTTGTTTCTTCTGAGGCACTTTTCCTAGGTACATGGTGTGCCCTTTCAATATGTAATTTCAAGCTTTTTTTTTAATTTCAGAGGTTTTCTTGAATTATACTTTCTTCATTTCCAAATTATAGTTTTCTTCGCTTCTAAATTCTGTTGCTTTGTTTTCTGTCTTCGGGGCTCCTATGTATGTGGGGTCGTCTCTGCTCACCTACACTGTCTGCCACCTTCTCTTGTTCCTTTTTACCTTTTCCACCAATTTTTTTACTGTAAAATTTTTTCTCCTTTTCACCCTCAATTTCTTGTAAAGCATAATCTTGTGTTCCTTTTACTTTGTCTTTTCTGAAATATTTTCTTTTCTAATTTTTCCCAAACCTCTGTGACGTCTGATTTTGAAGTATGCTGTTCTTTCATATATCTCTATTCCTTTTACATAAAGCTACCTCTGTTTTGTGGACAAATCTTTCTGGCATCTTTTATTGACCGTGGTGATGTTATTCTGCTCCTTGTTCTCTTTTCTTCCCTTAGGATGATTCTTTTTAGTTACTTATTTTCCTTGAAATCTGTATTTCTGAATTTTGGGGGCTGTCAGGGAGGGTGGGTTGGTTCAAGATAGTTTTTCAGTTTCGTGGCTCTAAAGCTCCCTCTTCTGTTGTTTTTGTGAAGTATTCAAAAACATTGGCCTTGTCTTTAGTTTTTTTGGTTCCTCTCCTTCACTGTCATTGGGACTTTCTCTGTCCTTTGCCCTGTTATTCCTGTCTAGTGACTGCAGTTCACTCCTGTAAGCTTCCGCTCAGTGCGGATGTCCTGCCTGGAAGGACAGGCCCAGAGAAGTCGGTTACAAGAGATCATGGGAAGGCTCTCAATTCAGAACAGTCTTTTCACAAATTTTAAAATGATGGAAAGAAATCCTTTTTTCACAAAATACCAGACAAGCCTGAGCTTAAGTCTGGGTCCCATCAGTCAAGGGCTCCAATGCCTTGATCAGGCCATTTTGCTTCATCTGTAAAACAAGGGCAGGGACGTGCCCATGAGGCACAGGCGTAGGCCTGTCTGGGAGAGTGAGCCCTGGTCAGTGTGGGCAGCTGCTGCCACCTCTGCATACCTGGTTTCCCTCTGTGAAATGGCCCTGGGGTGCTGAGTTTGAGGATCTGTGCTCTTCCTGCGTCACAGCGCATGTGGGAGCTCTGCCTGTCTAGGCTGGCACCTTGGGGACTTTCCTGCACTCCCCTGCAGTCAGGTGAGGGGGTGCTGAGTTTGAGGATCTGTGCTCTTCCTGCGTCACAGCGCATGTGGGAGCTCTGCCTGCCTAGGCTGGCACCTTGGGGACTTTCCTGCACTCCCCTGCAGTCAGGTGAGGAGACACGGCGAGGCCCTGGCCTTGGAGGCAACACCTCTTGTGTGCCCGATTGAGAGTAGGTGCTTACCTCCCTGTGGAAGTTGTCTGCTTCCCAGTTCCTGTGGGGAAATCTTCAGTGTCTTCCTCAATATGTTCTCAGGGCATCAAGACACTGGAGCCAGGAAATGCCCTATATATGTAAGGATATCATTCTCTTGATCTTACCTCTCAGAGAAAATCACTCTTAAAATGTGTAACCTGGTGTAAGGGATGCCTGTTAGGGACTTGAAAATAGTACAGGATCATACCCTAGTGGGGTTGGGGATTGGAGGTGTAAAATCTGTGCAGCTTCTCTGGAGGGCAGTTTGGAAAATTATATCAAAATCTTAAAGTATGCACGCTCTTTGATTCAGAAATCCCACTTCTGTTAATTTGTCTTGAAAAAATACCAACATGACTGCACAAATAGAAAAATCTATTTGTTATAGCATTGCTTATAAGAAGAATTGAACATGCTCATCTGTAGGGGATGGTTAAATACACTGCCACCGTTGCTCAGAGTGGAGCAGAGTGCGGACTTTCAGAGCAAGGCACTGGCGGGAAAAACTGTATACGGGACATTGTTACATTGAAAGAGCAAGTAGTGGAATGATCTATAAAACTTTTTAAAAAATACTATGTTTGGGTGCGTGTGTGGGTGTCTGTAAGATTTGAAGGTAGATAAGTAAATTACAAATAGGGTAGGATTAGGCAAGATGTTACTGCTCCTCAACTTCCTTTTTCCTCCAGGGCCTCTTCTGGGACAAGTCATATTTCTTCCTGGCTCAAATAACATGCAAGCCATTCAGTGTCTTTCTTGCTCCCTCCCTCTCTTCCTACCCACCCCCCCAACTTTTTTTTTTTTTTTTTTTTTTTACATAGGCTTTTTTTTTGAGCAATTTTAGGTTCACAGCAACATCGAGCTGAAGGAACAAACAGACTCCCCC